TCAGTTCTGCTTCCTTTCTGCCAGTTTCTTCTTCTCTTTTTTTTTAATCGAACTTGGAACCTTATGCTTGCGAAGCAGGCAGCAGAACCACTGAGCTAAATCCCTGGCCCAGCCAGTTTCTTTCTCTGCATTTCTTCCTCTTTCCCTTCTGGGGCACACTCACTCCGGTCTCCCCTCCAGCCCCTAAATCACTCTGGAATTCAGGCTCTTTGAAATTGGATCTGAGCCCTTCCCCTCCTTCCATTCCCGGGCTTGGAGGCTGGAAGCGGCTGGGGCTGAAGCGGAGGGGAGGGCCACCAAAGCCCTGCTCCCTCCTGGAGTTAATTAGGGAAAACGGAAATGTCAAAACCTACGAAGGGTTGGGGGAGGGGCAGCCTGAGGGAGGAGAGGAGGAGGTGGGCAGCTGCGCCCTCCTAGCCGGGCTCCCTCCCCGCCCCCACACCCACCCCCTCGGAAGGCCGCAGCTGCGAGGATTTAGGATCTGAGTAGAAGCTTTGGAAACTTGAGTGCTAGAGGCACGTCTCTGCTGTCTCTTACCTTACGCCCGCCCACTCCTACCGCAGGATTGAAAATATTTCCGGTCTATTTCTCAATCCTGGTTAGTGTCCCAGGATTACTCAGCTTCTCCAGTTTTAGTCACTTTCTCTACCCTTTCCAGGGTGTAGGGCGGGGGCAGAGGGAGACTGGGATGCAAGCTATTCTGCCAGCTGGGCAGGGGTTGGGCTGGACATGCCTGATGCTTTAACTTCCTCTCTGCCACAAGGGAATGTGGGGCCTCCAGCCATGAGCCCAAAAAGCCAAACTCCTTTCGCCCCTAGTAACCTTCACCCAGCCAGGATGGTGTAGGGTAGAGAGGATGGCACCGTAGCCGAAGAAGAGGACGACAACAGCCTTTATTGGGCACTTGTCCAGGACTGGGCACTGGGTGGAAGCACTGTGGTTCAGTCCCTGAGGCGGGTACTCATGTGCCTCAGCCTTCGGTGTTTGTTGTGCATTCAAGTCAAGTTGCTCTGAGATCTTGTTATGATGCAGATTTTGAGAATCGGTGCTTTGAACAAGTTCCCGGGGTTATGCTAAGCTAGGGCCAGACTGTGTACTTCTCTTCTCTGGGCCCAGTGTCGGGGTTCGGTGGACAGTTGGGCGGGAGATGCTTTCTGATCTCACCTAGCTCGGACAGTTCTGAGTCTCTACCTGTACTCACTGCACCTATGAAGGCCGGTCCCTGGAATTGTCATCTCAGATTCCTAGTTAGATCAAAGAAGACCCGTGATGAAACAAAAAATATAGCCAGCTGCAAGAAAATTTAAAGTGGAAGTTTACTGCCTCCAGCAACCTCACACCTGTCTGAATCTAGGAGTTGGAGTTGTCCTGGCTGGGAGTAGTCAGGGTGATACGTATGGGGGTCTGGATTCAGGAGATGTGCATATGGGTGATTCGGCAAAAGGGAACAAAATGGGGTCACCTGATAGGTTAAGCTAAGTTCTGTTTTTCTTTTCTGACGAAGGGTCTTGCTATGCAGCTCAGGCTGACCTGGAACTCACTATGTAGCTCAGGCTAGCCTGGAACTCTCAAGGATCCTCCTGTCTCAGCCTCCTGAGTGTTGGGATTATGGGCATGTGCCACCACTCCCAGCTGGTTCTGTTTTTCTAAGTTTCCATTTCCCCTAAATGGCATTACCTGGTCAGAGCTGAGTTAAGTTTAACTTTCCTAAATTAGGTTTCTATTTTTCAAAATTGACAGTGCTTACATGGCAAATCCCCATTTCCTCCTTGCCTCTTTTGTCCTCAGAGTAGGGGTAAGGTCTGAGCTGGTATAGGTAGTAGAGAAGAGTAGCTGTATCCTCCAGCAAGCACCTAAGTACACTTGGGCCTGAGTCTTGTGGTAACATACTGACTGGTATCTGCCTTCTCTTAGCCTTGGTTCTGTCTTCTGTAAAATGAAGAGAATTCCAAGGAATTTAGCTCAGTAGCACTGCGCTTGCCTTGCAAGTAGAAGCCTGAGTTTGATTCCCAGTACCAAAAAAAAAAAAAAAAAAAAAAA